AAATTAAACAAAAGATCTGGTTTATTAATAAAAAACACGGAATACATATCGCTATGGTCAAGATACTTAAATGCCCAAGTTGTGATCAAGTAATAAGAACTGGTAAAACCCGAGATCTTAATAAACACATGAATTTAAATGGAAACCTTTGTAAGGGATAATGCCTACCAGCTTTGCATTTATTGCTAAACCCAGTTCCAGCTCCAGTAGGAAATCCACCCATTCAAAATCCTGCTGAAAACCCAGCACCAGCTTCAGAGGGCGATCTCATTTCGTTCGATGAAAACCAACCGATGCACCAGCCGAGAGAGGCGACCACGCCAGCACCCGACCTTTTAACCGATGATATTCCAGATATAAAAGCGGGGCCAAGTTCTAAAATTCAAGGAGAACAAAAAAAGAAATCAATTTTAACGATAGATGAATTAATAAAATGGGTATCAAAACCGGAAATAAAAAATAATAAAAAAATTAGATTAAAGCCTATACCTAAAACTGACGAAGAATGGTTTGATTTAATGGAGTCAGACGATGATGATGAAGATAGTGAATCCAATGATTCAGAATATGATACAGCTGATGAAGATCCTGATATCTATTTCGAAAAAATTATAGATCCATATATTAATAGAAAATCAGAAGCAGAAAATTTTAACGAAGGTGAGGTTTGTGATTACTATGCATTTGTACCCAAAGGATATTATGCTGAAGGTGAACCATTAGCTTTCTTTGAATCAATCGAAGGAAAGATTTCCAATGTTTACAAAAAAGAGTTAGCTTTAAAGGGTGGATTAAAGGTGAGAATTGTATTAATAGCATATATGAAGAAAATTACGCCAGAATCTCAAGAGCCATTATTTAAGTCAATTCCATTCAAACATAATACAATAGAAATTATAAGAGAAGATCGAATTAATGCAAGTATAGAAAAAGGATATAATGAAATTATAGATGAAATAGAAGATGAGGCGTTACAAGAATCTGGATGGTCATTCGTCCGAGCAGAAGAGGTATTTCTTGAAATAAGCGCATTCAGACCATTGCGTGGGAGTAGTTATTTACCTCTTCATGAAACATTAAATAAACCTCAGCTCGGCTTAATTAATCCACAAAATTTCAATGACAATGAATGCTTTAGAGATTGTGTTTCAATACATCACGCAAGAATAGATGCATTAAATACAGGACAAAAACCTACACATCTTGAACGTATAAGTAAGATTAGACGTTATGGTAATATAGCCAATTTTAGTGGTATAAATTTTCCAGCAACGCTTCATGACATTGATAAATTCGAGGAAAATAACCCAAACTATGCTATTAATATATTTAGACCAGTTTATAAAGAAGCTTTCGGAAAAATAATAGTAGATATAGACCCATTACATATTTCAGAACGAAATTACCAAGTCGACAATATGATAGATTTATTATATTTAACAGAAGGTGAAGAGAATTTAAATGACCGAAAAAACAAAAATGATATACCAGAAGGACTTAAAACACATTATGTCCTTATAACAGATTTTACACGATTGATGCGTAAATGGAATAATCA